TTCGAATGTTGATCGTTGTTTCCTTACGACTATGAGCCATTTTTAAACATTCAATATTAATATATTTAAACATTAAATAATTAACATATGACGAAGTAAGCACGCAAAGAATAAAACCAAACAATTTTTCAAACGTCACTAAAATGCAAAAATAAAAGGAAAAAGTGGAAGACGGTAGATTTATTCATGAAATTTTACGAAAATGTTTCAGTGTACGATCACTTTTGTGTCGTGTTTTATCCATGCTTCCTTACATTTTCAATTTCAGAAAAAGAAAATAAGTCAGTATTAAAAATGAAAAAGTTTGGTTTTATTCAAAATCACATGGAGATGTGGTGTGTGGGTGATTATGGCAAAGCCTCGAGGGCTATCTGCCTAAGGGGAGGGATGCCTTCGTGGAGGACTTTCTAAGGGAAACTGGCTCGTATACACGTTACACATGGGGAAAACCACGAAACGCCCATGCAGCCAGCCCGTTCGCGAGATTCGAACCTCGGACCGAACTACCAGTGTTCAGCGACTTTACCGCTCGGCCGCTGGTGGGCCACATGGAGATGATATGAAATGATATATTCGAATTCAGTTCCGGGTTACAGCGCTTCCTCTTCAAATTCTTAAAGTGTGCGAACATTTTTAAGAGATACTGTATATGTATAATTTCAAAACCTTTTTAAGTCTGGAAAACCACTACGCAGTTCCGCTAAGATTATCGTTATAAATGTTTTTGTCAAATGAGAGGAGCTGTTTCCTAATAAATTCGGTAGTAAAATTATTACTTCTGATTTGACTGGCGTTTCTATGACAAGCATAAATCGCATGATATCGGACTGAAAAGGAAATGGTGGATTTTCCACTCGGGGGAAAAGTTACCTCTGAAAGCTGGTCCACGCAAACCCGAATTAAACAACATGATAAGCTTAACTTTAGCAACAATACAAAGAAAAGTTCACGGTTTCTTTTCACGGAATAAGCCATTAAAAGTTCGTTCTAGCCTTCTACGTGCACGATCGAGAAGACCCAGCATTGCCGTCTCGCATTCACAAGAATATTCTCCGCCGGCGGCTTTAGTTTTATACAGGGTCAAGTAAAAACAGACCAAACAAAAAATCTGATATTTTAAGCCTTTTTTGTTTTGTTTTGTTTTGTTTTGTTAGTCCAAACATCGAGGCACGCGGCAAAAGCTTAAGGTATCTATCTGCCTACATACGAAGCACTTTTTTTTAAATACATAAAATTTTAATTAAACACACATGTTTTTGAGTAAGATGGGATATAAAACTGTGAACTTAAATGGAATTTTATAAATCGTTTCATTAATTTTTTAAATATAGGCAATTTTCAGTAAAATTTTAGTGAAAATTTTCATTTACGCCAGATCTCCTATAATAGATTCTAATGAATATATTTCAATAATCTTTACACAGTATATAAATAACATACTTATCTGTGTTATGTAGCAAAAGATTTGCTGTACTTATAAAATTTTTGAACTATTCAAAATTTAGTACAAAAACTCAGAATTAAAACAAAAAAAATCCTCTTTTCTTCAAAATACTGTCAATAAAATCAATAAATAAATACAAAGAGGTCAGATTTTGCTACAGAACACAGCTAAAGATGAATAAAACATTTTAGCAAAATTTGATTTCAATATTCTAAATACAGTTTGAGAAATTAACGTAATCGCAATCAAAAGTAACGAAAAACACAATTTCTCAGAAAATGCATTTTAAAGATTTTAATACACCACAAAAAATTTTGTAGTCACTTTAGACCTTTAAAACTCGCCGTATTTGTATGTTAAGCCCTCTTTTACTTCATTCTTAACTAGTTTTGACTTTCTTTTAGCATTTTTCTTCATAACTTTGTTACTTGTAGATTTTGGCGTTTCGATTTCTGAATTCGCTGTTTGTCTATTCCCATGTAGCTTTCAAGCATCATGGGATTAATTTCTATTTCTATATACCTGAAAATAGGTAAAAGTCCTAAATATCTTGAATTAAATAATAATACAGCAATATGGGCGCCTAAAAGCAATGTTTTCAGTTGGACAAAAGTTTCTTTAGGTAAAATAGCCCTCAAAAGGTTATTAAAACACTCATTATTGAGTCTTACCACGAAGGCTTTTTATCAGCAAAGTGTCACACAGTGAAAGATGTGTTGCTTCTACAGCTTTTATATTGTTTAATAATTAGAAAATAGTTGTTTAAACTTATTGTTTACATTTTAGGACCATTTAAATGCCAACTTCCGGCATCCAAAAAATTCACTTCCGGTTTATTTTTTATACTGTAACTTTTCTTCTTAGTTATCGTAAAAACAAAAATAAAGCATTTTTGGAAACCTAAATGTCTGGCCTATAAAAATGAATAAGTAAAAAACATTTCGAAAATTTTTACCAAAACGACGAATTTAGGGTAGGCACATACCTTAAAAGCATAATGGACAAGCTAGAAAAAAATCGGCATAGACCTCTGCACGAAGGAATAGGACACATGCAATAAACATAATTGGCATAACGATTCTCAAAGTTTACTAAAGTAGCTAGGGCAGCAATGGTATGTGTATCCGAAATATGGAAGTGTAACTGTTTTTAGTTATCCACGAGGCGACGTGCCGTTCAAGGCTACTAGCACAGTAATGGACAGTACACATACTATAATACTGTAGATGTAACGTGTATTGAGCACACATCTGTTAAGCGTCTTACAACTGTGAAGTCTCTAGATGTTTGCAGGGCCAGGGTAACACTCGTAGTCATAGAAAGCCGTTCGGGTGCCCTGTCCTGCTGTCACCTGTTTAGTTAGTCCAAATGCCTTGGTTCAGTTAATTATGAAGCTTTTACAATAGTTCGCGGCTCCCCTGTGAAGAGGGAGGGAAGCTACGGCGCACAGTTTGAGAACGACTGACGTAGCGTAAAATTTTGTTTGAGTCCTGTATAATTGAGCCCTATATTCATGTATCATTGAAATGAATGATACAGTGGAACGTCGAGATACAAGCACATACCGGAAATTCGAGATACGAGGAAAGTATGAGCGAAGCATTTGTCTCTAAATGCGAGCATTGACTCGAGTAACGAGCAATGTTGGTATGCGTGGTGCCATTTCCCAATCCGGCTCGAATCCAGGAATACATATTTCACAAGTGCACATCTGTGTAGCCATCGAGGGAGTGGCTTCGTAATATTTCTGTCATATCACATGACCTTTCACATGTCTTTAAGATTTAAGCAAGATGGTTAAATCTTAAAGCACGCGAAAGGTCATGAAGATAGTTGAAAGTATTTTGCCACGCAATTTTCTGTACAAAATAATTAAAGCATCGGCCGATTTCTTCTGAAAATTTTCATTGCGAAGTTAGATCAAATATAAGCAACTGATTTCACTACTTGGTTGAAAGAATTTGAAAGAAATAAAAACACGTGCTGGATACTCCGCAAAAATATCCATGTGAAATCAATTGCTTACATTACTTACTTAATAAGTGGTTAATAAGATTGAAGAAAGAAATATGTGATAAACATCTGAGCCCAAATGCTATCTTTGCATAAAATTATGCATATGAGAAAAATATTTACCCCAATTATCTATATAAATAGAAGTCAGCACTTTTTATTGCAATTTATATGAAAAAGATGTTCTATAATAATAGCCAATGCAAAATTTTACTCAAAATGAACTTTACTAGTGTGTAAAATTTCACATTTAATAACTGTCCACTCTTAAATGTACTGTCTACACAGGAAATATTCATCAAACAGAATGAATTTATCCTATTCACAACGAATATACTCATTTTATTTACATTTAACTTTTTAATGTTAACAATGAATATAATCAGATAATACAGAATATGTATTCTGAATCTTTAAAAATCGAAAGCGTGCAAGCACTGAAATAAGAAAACACTAAATTCATTTGTAACACTTCCAGTCCTTCTCAGCTCAATTAAAAAATATATACAATTGAATTCTCTTAATCCACAGGTGTTAGTAAATGCACAATACTCGAGGCTAACTGTAGCTTGAGTCCTTTTCTCGTTGTAAAGAGCGATAATATGCCGTGGACATCAATCCAAATATTATTGCGTGATAAAAATCGCGAAAGTGAAATGTCAGCGTTTAATTAAACACAGAAAAGCAAAGCACGAAAGCAGATTTTCTACTATTACGTCCTATATTCATAACTGCAAAACAAATGCAATTAAAAAATGTAAACAATATACGCTCACATGCACGAAGATTTAGCTTCACAAGCAACAGAAGCATTGGTCCGTTTTCGAAGCCCCTCTCTCAGTGGCTACGCTGATGTGCACTTGTGAAATATGCATCCGGGAATCCCCTCGTCAGATCACTCGGTGTTCTTTGATTTACGTGTTTGTGCTCTTGTGAGTCAATTTTTTAATTACATTTAACTTGAAAACAGTTATTTCACAATGCCTCCCAAGAAGATTATTGCCTCAGATGGTGCTGCAAAGAAAAATAAAGAAGCCATGGCCGTTGAAATTAAGAAAGAAATCATAGATAAATAAGCCTAGTGTAAGAGTGACGGAATTGGCGAAGACTTACGACATTTAGACATCAACGATGTGCACTATTCTGAAGAAGCGGGAAGAAATTAAGAAACTTGATGTAGCCAAATGAGTTACAATTACTTCCAAGCACCCTCCAAAACTCCTAGAAGATACTGAGAAGCTGTTGTTGGTGCGGATTAACGGGAAGCAGTTAAAAGGGCGGTGTAGGAAGCTATCATAAAGGTAAACTACGGTTATATTATTTACCAGTGCTATTTATTAGAAAAATTGATATTTTTTTTGGGGGGGGGCGGAACGGATAAACTGATTTCCATTATTTTCGATGGGGAAGTTTGTTTCAAGATACGAGAGATTCGCTATACGAGCTGGAACGAATAAAACTCGTATCTCGATGTTCTACTGTATTTATTTACTTCCTGCTGTAACACTTCAGGTAAACAACTGAATGATTTATTTAGGTAGATGCTACTTAAAAGATCTAAGAAAGAAAATGGGTATATCTCTCGAATCCAGAGAAGTTACCAATCACAATGGATATCTGGATGTTGTGTGTGGTCGTGAATATACTCCGACAGGCGAGCGGCCATTTTGCTTCAAAGGAAAGTGGAATGAACGTGTATTATCTCCGTGCCGAGAAAGTAAGTGTCTGCCTTTCATTTTTTAAATTGATAAAGCCTTATCGTTGTAAAGGGAACGTGTAAAATTAAAATATAACATTATCATATGATATGTAGGTAGTAGGATCTAAACATTCGGGCACTTTATTCTGGAATCCTGAGATTTGAGGAGAAAGTCTTGAGGCATTTCTGAAGCCCATTCCTCGCGACTTAACCAGCACAGCTCTTTTTCGCATCGGGAAATCCAAGGTTAAGATCCAAGGTTAGTCAAACAAGGCTAGAATATTTCAAGCGCTAAACCCACTTGCTTACAGAAGGGGGAGGAAAAAAGCCGTAGCTGCTTAGACCAGATTGAAATCTTGCATGAGAATCACCTTTGGAAAATCCATAACCCTTGAGCTCCCTTTTGGGTACACTGTTCTAAAAGAGTAAACGAAAACTGAGCCGTCTAATGATTTTAGCAAGAAGTGATAGCGGGAACGCAGCAACGGCGACGTAATATCAAAATTGAAAAAGTGTAGAACTATAAATATTCAATTTTGGTTAATGAAATATTATAAATTCCTTTCTTAGCATGCATGACTTTCACTGATAGCAGGAACGCAACAACGGCGATGTGAATTTAAAATCGGTTTCGTGAGCGCAACATTCTAATACAAGCGCCCTGAGTATGACCCCGTGGGATGGCTTATCAAAATCTTATGCAGACTTTCTTCTTGTTTTGAAGGACAAGTGTGCGAAATATTTGCAACATTGGAATAAAAGTGTATACTTACTCACACACTAACAAGCAATCGGACACTTTTCTTTGTATATGTTACGGTGAAACACCGAAATCTGGAGAATGTCGACTTTCACCTGTGAATGTCGACATTCACCATGTACTAATGGTGAATGTTGAACATATAAGAATATTATATTTCCTTCTCCGTAATTCATTCACGAAAAAAACGCACTGAGACTCAGAATAAGATCTTAAGAAACATAAGAACTTAAAAACACACAGTACATTCAAAATGAGGAAAGGAAATAATAGAAGTTATAAACTTACCAAATTACGTGATTCAAATCTTATTTATTGCAAACAAACTTAAACTATTATGACACTTTGAATTGCACAAGAGGCCCTTGCTTTTACAACTGCATTTATTTGTGGAACACTTCCTTTTGGAATGGCAGTGTGTACATAGACTCCTCTCTTTTCGACCTACACCACAGCATATATGTGATTGTCGACATACACCGGTGAGGGTCCGAATGTACAAGAATGTAAAGAAATATTCGATCTTTCACCGACGTATTTGGTGAATGTTGACATTCTCCGGTGAAAGTCGACATTCTCCAAATTCGGTCTTTCACGGTAACATATACATATATATTCGTATATTGATGATTTCAATAAATCCAGCTTGTGAAATTTTACAGATCAAGCAAGTTATTAATAATAATTGAAGAAATTGTAATGAATTTTGTATTTTGCAGTAATTGACAAAACAGATAATCTTCTTAGTAAAACAAAAATTTTATTTTTAGTCACGGAGATAGATAATTTGTATACAATTCTTAAGTGGCAAAATTTTCATTCATCTCCTAGATGGTCAAACTTCAGAATAAACAATATTTAAACAATTTCGTCTGTTGCTGAGCAACAGTTACATCATACAAATATGGCGTTGCCACTTCAATAATTACTATAGTTATTTGTTAAATAACAAGATTTTACAGCTTGATATACTACATGTACATGATTTCAATAAGGTGTTTATTTTGCAAACTGATGCTTCAAAATCTGGTATGGGTGTCATTTTAGCTCAAATGATGAACGAGACAACGAACATCCAGTGTTATACCTCAATAAGAAGTTTACAGAAACTGAAAAAAAGCACTCTACCACAGAAAAGGAATGCGTAGCCATATTTGCTGTAAAGGAACTTCAATGTTATTTAGATGGGCATACTAAATTCCTCATCATGACCGATCATATTCCCCTAGTTTGGCTCAAAAATATACTGCATTGTGCTGATATTGTTGTTTTGAAAAAAAAAAAAAAAAATTGTAAAACTTTAATTTATAAAAATATAAATTAAAGTTTATCTGGAGAGGGGAGAAGTTGTAATATCTTGTTATTTAACAAATAATAGTAATTATTGAAGTGGCAACGCCATATTTGTATGATGTAACTGTTGCTCAGCAACAGAAGAAATTGTTTAAAAATTGTGCATTCTGAAGTTTGTATGAAAATTATGCCACTTAAGAACTGTAGACAAATTATCTATCTCCGTAACTAAAAATAAAATTTTTGTTTTATTAAGAAGATTATCTGTTTTGTCAATTACTGCAAAATACATTACAAAATGAATCTGCGTTTATTGCTTTTAAATCGCTTAGCTTGCTAATTAACAATAATAAATTTGAAACAAAAATTAACTAGCCTGCGTTTTGCTGACAAACGCAGGCAAAACATTGCCGAGTGGGAGATAAAAATATTTTAATTCGGGAAGAGGCAACATATTTTTCTTATGTCCCCATATTTTCTAATTTAAATTTTAAACAGCGAATCTTACTTGAATTTGAAAAAGCGAATCTTTTACGCTTCGCAAAGTGGCAACACACAGGTTTACTAATGACACCGTGTTATACTATACATTTTTCGATTCTGAATAAGAACTTCTAAATTCATATTAAGCAAACGTAGCAACTACTCTTCGAACACAGTTGAAATGTTATATTTCTGTATTAGTTGAATTTTCACATTTAGATTTAATAAAATAAAATCTGAAGCATGAGTTCAATTCACGTAGTTTGACTCGAAAAAAAAATCTTCCTTTTTAAGGGATGATTACACATTTAAAAGTAAATGGAAAGATAAATTTAAATTTTAAGGAAAACGTATCTTCTGTTCTTCTTCTTCTTCTTCTTCTTTTTTTTTTTTTTTTTTCCTAAATTTTCATAATTTTTGTTTCAGGAAGTTGTGAAATTTCTAGAATCCCTAATGGAGTACTTACAGTGCGACGTCTTGGACCGCCGTATTTCACGTTCAGCGGATGGGTGCGAGATGATTACTACGACGAAGTAATTTAGTTATTCGTTTCTTATGCTCCAAAAAATGGTTTATTAATTTTAAAATTACAGTCGAACTCCGCTATAACCATCTTCAAGGGACCAGAAGTTCGGTTCGCTATATCCGATCCGATAAGAAAAAATGAATTATTACACAAAAACGTGGAAAACTAAATGATGAATAAAGAAGAAAAACCGATTAATGTTAATACATGTACACTCTGCACATACACACCAAAAAACTTCACGTGGACACCACATCACAGCCTATTAAGTTATGCACATTTTTTGGCTACATATCATTTAAACTTATTTCCTCGAATATGTTTCTCATTCAATTAATTCAGCTCTCATTTCGCGGCAAGACAAAAATACATGCCCACGAGCGGCCGAGCGGTAACGTCGCTGAACACTGGTAGTTCGGTCCGAAGTTCGAATCCCGCGAACTGGCGGCTGCATGGGCGTTTTCGTGATTTTCCCCATGTGTAACGTGTATACGAGCCAGTTTTCCTTAGAAAGTCCTCCACGAAGGCATCCCTCCCTTAAGAAGAAGTCCAACCTCTCTTCGGAGTAGGCTCTGGCAAACATTGTTCCATGTAATATGGACAAGACAACAAAAATACATAAAAACTCAAAACATATTCATTAAAAATTGTAAAATTAAAAAAAAAACCTGAAGCACGAGATGCATTTAAAACAATTAAAAAAAATTTTTACAATTAAAATTACAGTTCTGCTATGAAACAAGCAATTCAACTAGCGGGCAAGCGATGAATTAGAATTCTCTGGGTTCAAAAATAGTCTTCATAATCCTTTTATTCTTTATTGTATGGAACTATGTACAATATATACAGTTCTTTAAGTGGAAATATACGGAACTATGTACAATATGTACAGTACTTTAACTGTATTCAAAGAATAAAACATTCGCATGAACAATTTTATATGCCAAAATAGTATGCTTGCGGCATTCACATCATTTCGTCAGCCTCATGGACCATGGTCAGCCTTCGTCGCCGCCATCGTAGGGTTGCCATAACATTTGGCTCCTTTCGAGCTTTCACTATAAATTCCAAATATTCCATAACAAGAAGGCAGATTTCTCGGTGCAAAAAAACTAAAAGTTTACCACTAAAAGCGCAAGAATAAACTTAATTCTCTATTCTAAAGCCTGAGTAAAAACTTTAAGGCCAGTACAAATTTTTGAGAAAATGGAAACGTTTAAACTGAGGAATTAAAATACCATTTGATTGATAATTATAGAGCTTAAATAAAAGTAAAAAAAGTAGAAAAATTAATTGCAAATATTTTTATTAGAAAATATTACAGAACACACAGATGATATTTGAGCCTGAGTAAAACTTTAAGGCCAACATAGAAAATAACATATAAGAAAAAAATTACAATTTCTTAGAAGGTTGTGTAGGAGCCATTACTTCAAATATTTGTTTGCATGGATGAAACGAGTTTTTGACAAAGGGTGGGGTCGGTTTTTATATCATTCATCTTCGATAGTAGATTTCAGCTCTGTTGTTGATGTAAAATGTCTCCCATTTGCAAAATCTTCTTGCTAAGTCACCCCAAAGGTTCTCGATTGGGTTGAGGTCATGTGATCTAGCTGGCCATTTCACAGTTTCAAAATTGTTGACTTGGAACCAATTCTTTGTTGTTACTCGAATGGATCGATGCATTGTCTTGCTGATATCTCCAATTTTCTCCAACAAGACATTCAGCATTTGCAAAAATGATTTGTTAGGACATTTGGTATCCTGTGAATTCATTCCACCAGAAACGAATGCAATTGAGCCCACACCATTGTAAGCAAACAGCCCAAGTCAGACAGGCCTCACCTAATTGGCGCTTGCAGGATATTCTTTTTCATTTCTTATATCATCCGAGAAAATTCCAGCCATTGGTCCATCCAAATTCCATTTTTTTTCGTACAGAAAAATAATTTTATCCATTGGTTGTCCAGGTCATGACTTTTGGCCAAAGTTCAAACGCTCTTTTTGTGTCTCTGCAGTAACTGAGGCTTAGTCAATTTGATGTATAAGTGAACTTCCGGTTACAGCCGAAAACATCGCGGTAAAAACATCGCGGACGAAACGTCGCGGAGAAAAACAAAGCAAGGCAAAAACGTCGTGCTACAAAACATCGTGGGAAAAAACATCGCAACGAAGAAAACATCGCAGTTCTAAAACATCGTGGTACAAAACATCGTCGTCGAAAATAAAGCGGTTTTTTAAAAACTTCGCAGTTTAAAAACATCGTCGCAAAAATATCGTGGTAAAAATAAAGTATCTACAAATAATCGCATGACGATAACATCGCAAACATGCTTCTTTCAGGCTTTAATAACTGTAAATGGATATTCCCATAATGATTTGTGAGCGCAAGATGGAAAGAAGGATAATTTTTTACTTTCATACTTTTATTAACTAATAAATTTTTTGAGAAAATAAGAATGAACTTAAGCATAGAAAATTAATGCAACTTATAGCACTTAATAGAATTTTAAACCGACATAGTTAACTAACAAAGGCCAATAATAAATCATTTTTATAAGTTTCTACTGGTAATTTTTCATGAAAAGTATAATCTATATTTGCATTTAATTTTTTATGCTTAAGTTTCTTCTTACTTTTCAAACATTTATTAGTTAATAAAATATGTGAAAATAAAATTATCCTTCTTTACAACTGAACTCACAAATCATTATGGGAATACCATTACAATATTAAAACCTGAAAAAGCATGTCTGCGAAGTTATCGTCATGCGATGATTTGTAGATACTTTATTTTTCCACGATATTTCGATTGACGATGTTTTTAAACTGCGAAGTTTTTGAACCGCGTTATTTCGACGATGTTTTTGCACGATGTTTTAGAACTGCGATGTTTTCTCTTTGCGATGTTTTCTCCCACGATGTTTTGTAGCACGACGTTTTCGCCTTGCGTTGTTTTCTCCGCGACGTTTTCGTCCGCGATGTTTTTGCCGCGATGTTATCGGCGGACACCAACCTTCCAGACCTTCTAATTGTGTTATAAATCGGTTTTGACAAACTTTTAAACCTGTCGTCGAAATCAGTTTCCTGGTTGAGTACTTTCCAGTAGATACATATTGCACACGAGGACAAAGCTTTAGGTCTTCCCCCAGTATTCTTTTTACCATAATTGTCTTTCAATTTAAAAAAAAAATTGTTGACTACAGTCTTTGATCTTCCTATCTTTATCGCAATAGCACAACTACTCATTCCTGTTGAAGACAAAGCTTCGATCTCTCCTCTTTCACGATCAGTTAACTTCTTACCCTTCGCCATCTTCACAAAGATCACTAATACTTCGAAGAAACGTATGACAAATATGAAAATTGCAGCGTCGTCACAAGCTAGTAGTTGCAATGGTAATTACACGATTATATTATATTTATTTTTAAAAAATCACTGGTGGCCTTAAAAGTTTTTACTAAGGCAGAATTACTAACTTTGTAAATAACCACATATTTCTCATAATTATGTATTTACAAATTATGTTTATAGCATTTATTTCTTATCAATGAACTTTAATAATTAATTAATATTATTTGAATCCCTTTTATTTCATTTTACATTTTCTCAATGAACACTGGTAGTTCAGTCCGAGGTTCGAATCCCGCGAACGGGCTGGCATGGGCGTTTTCGTGGTTTTCCCCATGTGTAACGTGTATACGAGCCAGTTTCCTTAGAAAGTCCTCCACGAAGGCATCCCTCTTCTTAGGCAGATAGCCCTCGAGGCTTTGCCATAATCACACACACACACACACGACATTTTCTCAAAAATTTTTACTGGCCTTAAAGTTTTTACTCAGGTTGTACTAACAGCTTCAAATGTTAATAAATGGCTGCCACGTTAGGCTTAGTGGCACTTTAACAACATTTAAATTGTTGATACGCGTGTACAACTACATAATATAGCAGTGCCATGTACAAAATTTGAACGTTCTGACACTACTGGTTTTTTGAGTTATGCAAGATACGTACGTACAAATGTCACAAACACACACAAAAAACCTCTCTTGAATCCGTTTTTTGGGGAAAGAGTCCTTTGTTCGTACATACAGATATCATGCAAAAATATCGTTTAAATGGATTCGAAAGCTTTCAAAATAGATATTTTCATTGGAATATGGCACCCGAAATTGTTCGGGATTACGATACTTCGTTTATTTCGTACAAGGAAGTAAAAAATGGGGCAGTTCTATATCTTACGTTCTACTGGGCTGATTCACGAAATTTAATTTGCGTTTTTCATATTTGGAAAGCCCAATGTATGACATATATTAGATTTATATATAATGTTGTTCTAACATAGGTATTTGAATACAAAATCAAACTTCTTCTGAAATGTTATATCGATTTTTTTCCCATATTTCGCTTCTACGACTCAAATTATGCGAAAGTGCCAGGTTTCGTAAAAATCGCAGGAGTAAGTTTTGAAAAATTAGTTTCTCAGAATTCCTCAGTGTTCATTGAATTTGGTATATATTTCTTAATATCTCTTTTTTTATTAAATTTACGTTATTCCTTCTTTCACAGTTCGAAATTTAGGCTCAAAGCAAATACATTTCGCAGCTATATTCTGATTTATAATTTTTAAATTTGTATTTTTCAGTAATTTTTATAAATTATTCTAAAGCTTTCTGATTTATAACCTATAAAATGTTTACCGTCATCTTAGTATATGTACTTCTAAGCATATCTGCAAAAAATTGTTTTTTTTTTTTTTTTTTAATTCAGAGTTTCCTAAGATATACTTGAATTTACATATGAGCGCGTTTTAAAATTGGCATAATTTTTTTAAGCAATAATAACGCCAAATGTGTTTAAGGGATTTTTACGGCGGCTTTTTTTTACCGCTCGTGCACAATGAAAGGGAAAGGAAAAGGAAAATAGGTTACCAAAAATTAAGGATTTCGCCAAGTGTTCTTCGCGCAAACTGAAAAAAAAAAAGTGCTCCAAGATTAAAAAGTTCTA